CGGTGGTCTGGAACCGCCTCGGCGTTCCCCCGCCGCGGGTGGGGAAGTAGAGCGGAGCGAGCCCTGGAGTTCGGCGTATGTCCCCGCACGACGAACGCTCGCTCGGAGCAGTCGCTGCGGACGTGTGGGATGCCGCCGTGTCGCCGGCGGTGACGGACCGGGCCCCGGGGTCCAAGCGCCTGCGCGAGCCCGCCGCCCGGGGCGCCCCGCCTCCGCAGCTCCCTCGGCTACGGGCAGCTCTGGCCGGGATTGCGTTGAGATCTGAGTCTTGGAAGGAAGTTGAAAACAGGCTGAGTGAGCGTGACAAAGATAAGTGGACACACACGCAATAAGATATAATCTTATCTTGGATTATCTGGCTGGACCCAGGAGATTAAGACAGAAGAGGAGGTAGGCAGAGTCAGGGTGTGAGAAGGACTCCACCTGCTGAGGCTGGCTTTGGAGACAGAGGAAGGGGCCATGAGCTGAGGACGGTGGGTGGCCTCGAGAAGCTGAGGATGACCCCAGTCTGACAGCTAGTCAGCCAGGATCCCAGAACCTCAGTCCCACAGCTTCGTGGAACTGAGTTCTTTTAACAGCCTGAATCAACTTGGGTCAGCAGTCCTGCTAACACCTGGATTTTGGCTTTGTGAGATACTCTAAGCAGAGAATCAGCTGGTCCATGCTGTGCCCTGGCTTGTGACACATGGAAACTGTGAGATCATTAATGGGTATTGTTTTAAGCAGTTAAAATTTGTGGTAATTTGTTACAGGAGCGATAGAAAATGAATACAGTGTGTTATTGAGGGCATTTTTTCCCGTCTGTATCCTAGTAATGTGATAAAGTTCCATTTAGTGTTTCTTGTCTTTTTGTGTCTTAGCATCCAATTTGTCCTAATGAATTTAAGGTAGCACACCCCACCCCAATGTAACGGTAGACTTTATAGAAACAACCTCTATGTGCAGTGGGATTTGGATAGATTCGGATATATGTTCCAGCACACTTTATTGTATTTGGGAGTAGTCATAAAACTGCAGAAATTTAAAGGTGCTGGACCTTAGATATGATTCTGTTCAGGCCCCCTAATTTTATTATTTTGGGGGGCAGCTTTCCAGTATGGGGATTCGAACTCATGACCTTGATGTTAGAAGGCTGTACTCTAACCAACTGAGCTAACTGGCCAGCACTACCCGCTCATTTTACAGATATTACAGGAAATTGGATAATAGAAGCAGAATGATTTGCCTAGGTTCATAAAAAAAAGAGCCAGGAAAAGAACCAGAATGTTGTAAACTGCTGTCTTGTCTTCACATGTCATGCAGCCTTTCCTAGAAGTGTCAGAGATAGACTGATAGGAATAAGACAGGTATGAGTGTCCTAGGGCTGCCATCACAAAGTGCTGCCAATATAACACAACAGATACATATTCCCTCACAGTTCTGGAGACCAGAAGTCCAAAACCAAGTTGTTGGCAGCACCACTCTCCCTCTGAAGGCTCTAGAGGAGACTCCTTCCTTGCCTCTTCCAGCTCCTGGTGGTTGCCAGTATCCTTGGCATTCCTTGGCTTGTAATATCATGACTCCAATCTCTGCCTCAGTCTTCACACAGCTGTCTTCCCTCTGTGTGTGTTGGTGTCCAAATTTCCCTCTTGTAAAGATACCAGCTCATTCGTTTAGGGCCCGTCCTGATCAGTATGATCTCATTTTAACTCAATTACATCTGCAGATGAGGTCACATTCTGAGATTCTGGATGGACTTGAATTTGGGGGGGACACCCTTTAGC